ACCATATGCGTACTCAGTTTAGCAGCTGTTCTCGTGGTCGTCGCTTGGGGTCACGATTGATGCGATGATGGCTTGACAGTCCGCGTCCTCTTTTAAGGCGCCAAGGGTTCTGTCTGCAATAAGTCTTGTTACATATTTTCCTTTTACTTTGGATGTTTATGTATTTGATCTGCTATTATGCCTTATCCTACCCAACTGAATCTACTGTACACGAGCGGACTGTGTTTTGCGAACAGCAATGATTCATTCTGCTTCCTGCTTCTGTTGCGCAGCCTCAGTGAACGCAGTTATGGGAGTGCGGCAGCCGCTCTTCGTCACTCTCCGAACGGGCACTCTAGCACTGCCCCGCGGCAGCAACGATAGTGCTGTTGGTGGGGAATCTTCCGTTGGCCTCATGCTGCTCTCTGGGTATCCGAGTGTTTCCAGAGCAGAGAGTGTCTCCTCCACCTCCTCAGGCAGTTCTCTTAGCGGCAGTACTGAGAGCGGACCGCGTCCGAATACTGTGGACATGGTGTCGCTGGTGCAGCTGCCCTGCGCTGGGTCTTCGACTCCCTCCAAGGACGCCAATACCTTTGAACCCGGTTCCCTTATTTGCTCTCGAAGGTGTCTCTTCCTGCGACCCCCTTCCTCGTCTGCGAAGGTGCGTCTGTGTGTGTGTGTAGCAAGCAGTATTGCAAATATTTGTTTCCTCATGCTTTTCAGTTGCTTCTCTCGATAGATTTAGAGGCTATTTGGAAGTTTCACTTGAAGGATATATGCATATCTCGTTATCCCCGTTTGAAAAAATTGCTTCGTTTCTAAGCAAGTATTAGTGTTCCACTCAAAGTCGCGTCACACTGTTTTGTTTGTGCGATTAGATGCTAACTGCATCTCTATCGGACCATGGAAAAGTTCGATATCTCCTGGAGCTACGAAGTCCATCGCGTACAACAGTTTAAAGCGATGGCGGCTTGGGGCTCATGCCAATGAGAGTGCTATAAAGACCCCATTAAGACTGTGCAAGTGCATATTGATTCTGCGCTCGGAGAGTGGTTCTTTTACTCCATCAACTGGCAACCTTCCAAGCCACGGCTTCATAGATTCAAGCGTTTTCGAATTTCAATAAGGAAGAATGCGTGGCTGTGCTGTGCTGTAGGAATAGGTTCCCAGTACCGGCGTCCCTCTCCATTCCTCTCTTCCTTCTCCTATGCACCAATCAACTGTTCGAGCGTGTCAGCGAGCTGGGGATGGTATTGGTTGACAATGTACGTTACAGGATAGTGTGTTGAGTAAGTGGCACGGGGTTTCAGGTTGTGTGTGAATTGAGATCCGAGCTGCTGCCTCCATTTGTTTTTTTTTTTGCTACGGCTGCGATCATGACTGATCTAGCCGGCCTCAATTATGTCCCGTATAGT